CTTCCATCTCACACACGCAAATCATAGCTCCCACTTTCCTTGCTGTTTTACTCAGAATGGCACGTACATATGCTTGAGATAGAGAAAGGGTTGGATGTTGTCGTGTGAATCACATGCACAGCTGTCACGTAGAAGTTAGAAATTCAGATTCAGATGTGCACATCCGAGACTGAGCTGAATCACATGCTCTAGTGGAGGCATTTCCTGGTTGTGTTACTGTTCGCGCTGTTCCCATGAGCGATTCAGACTTGACAGCTGCGTCCACTTGATTTGAGGACGTCTTCTTCCGCGGAGCAACGAGAGAAACGCTGATGATATTTGCACTGCTCAGGGGACACCTGCACTAGAATCCAAAGCTTTGATGCGATCTTACCTGAAGCAAAAGGAGGCAACCACCACCATCAGTTGCCATGGCCATGGCCCATCAATGGGACACACGCGCACATTAGGGCCTGTTCGGTTGACAGCGAAAATGAAAGGGTTTGACAGGCCTCTACAAGTCAAAACCTCTTTCAATCCACCCCAATCCCCCTGTGAGGAGGTGTAACGGAACAAAGCCTTATTGTGTTTCCCGGCCCCGCGCCTAGACCCGCGCTTCTGGTTCACAGATCCTCGTGGCACATACAAGGCACCTGAACAAGTCATACAAGTATATCATCAGAGAAGTCACAACTCACAAGGACATGATAGCAACCTGTGATGTACTCCATTAGCTTTAATACCATTTCAAGGCTAACCAATGTTTTAACAAAGCATTTGTTTTGGCGGAACCTTTGACTTAGCTCTGGCTAGTTCAAAGGGACGTCCAACGCTTAGCGCCGTCCGTGCAACATCCGACGGAACGTGTAGAAATAAGAAAACAGCGACGCTTGGAGAAAAGAAAAACAGGCCCTTTCACTCGCTGTTGCCGTTGCCGTTGTCGTCGGATGCTGCACGGATGACGCTAAGTACGTCCCCTGACCTAGCCATACTAAAAGTCAAAGGATCTCATTCCGTCCGTGCTAAATTTATCAAAATTAGGAACTTGTATAGAGGTGTTCTTTTTGGCAAACTCTATAAAGGTTGGCAAGGCAATTGGCAACCAACTACTCCCTCCGTTCGGAATTACTTGTCGAAGAAATAGATGTATATAGACGTATTTTAGTTATAGATACATCCATTTTCGAGACAAGTAATTTCGAACGAAGGGAGTAATTAATAGTCATTTCTATGGGTTTGCCAAAACGTTGATAAGTGGATTTTTGGCATCAAACCAAACATAGGCCCGAAGATGAGTAGTAAGTAGTCTTAGAATTTCTTAAAGTTTCTACTACCTCCGTTTCAGTTTACAAGTCCTACGCGTATACCCAAGGACGGAGCCAGGATTTCGACATGGGGGGGCGAGGTTTCACACCAAGTCTCATACGCAATGGCCATGTTGTAAAAAAATTTAGGGTCTGGTCTAATGGAGATGCCATGGTGTCAACATACCCTTTTTGTGTCTGTTCATTGCATTCACATGATCAAACTTGACAGATGAAAAAAAATCACAACACTAGAAACACCAGATAAACTTATCAAAGAATAATTTGTAGTAATGTGATGTGGGTAAATAATATTTTACCTAATCTCATTATTTATTGGAATTGGCAAGATGGACTTCACTGAGTGAACCCAATCCCAAAACCTGAATCGAAAATTTATGAATCAATCCTGCTCTCTTATTCTTCTTCATGTTTACGCAAGCACAAGTAGGAATGTTATAATTGATTCTAAATCTGTCTGATTATACTTCTATAATTTTTAAAGCAAAGAACCAATCTGAAGCAAGAAACAATTACCTTTTCCCCTTTTGTGGTTTCTGTTCATCCATGCGTCGTCTCTGATGGGAAAACTGGCAACATGTGCGTGGATCGACACCTGCGTATCCTGGCAATCCCTTCCCTTCTCCGCTGCGACCCGAAGAAGAGATCTGATCGCATCAACCATCAGGCGTCAGTTTCGATAGCAGCGGCGGCTTGGAGAGATTAGCGATAGGGGAGTGCGTAATCAGGTCGTGGCTGCGTGCTGTAATTAGCAGGCCTCTTTTCCTTCCTTTTTTTTGAGAATCGCCTCTTTTCCTTCCATGATGGCCTGTTAGGCAGTTTTCTTTTATGATGATTTTTTTGATTTTAGCACGTAATGGGCTGTACATGGGCTGAAGCTTACACATTAATGAGAATGGGGGTGGGGAAGGATAGGGGGGGCGAAGCCTGCGCTGGACACGAGGGCAAGCCAAAAAATCAGCGATTAACTGATCGATATCGAGGGACGAGACGATCGTTGGGGGAGGTCTCGCCCCCCTCGTCCCCCCTTAGATCCGTCCCTGCGTATACCTAGGTTGCTAATTTTATCACCCTAATATAAACTATATAACACAAAAATTATACCTTTTGAAAGTAGAAACTCCGAAGTTTATGTTGATATATATTTTATAATATATGACTTATATTAGGTTGGTCAAATTGACGACCTAGGGGTACGCGCATGCCCTGTAAATTGAGAGAGAGGTAGTACTGATTGTGCTTCTTCAGGCACTCTCAATGCTTGGCTCTTACCACATTTTCATAGGCAAAAATGTCGAGGTGGTGACCGAGGTGTGCCCCACATTAGCGCAGGTGCTAGCACGCATGGCCGTTGTCTGCCTTGTCAAATCTGCCGACTCAGCAAAATCCCGATATGTGGTGTTCGCTTTGATCCGCGATTTCGATGTTGTTCCGGACATTGTAACATAACTTCTTCATGGACAAGTTGGTGGCGACTATAGAGGACTTCGTTTATGGTTGTGCTCTTTCAATACCGGGTCTCGAGTTCTCGGGTGAAAACCCTATGTCTAGCCTTCTCTTGTTGTACCCGACAGTGGTGGTTTATGCTTCCTTGTTGAAGGCACTCTCTGGAGCTTACTCGGCCCTTCTCTTATCGGTGAAAAATCCATGATCTGGCCTATGTGGTTCGATCCGACGATGTCGATGTTAATGCTTCATTTCCTTGTTGAAGGTGTCGTTGTTTGGGGAACCTTCTCGTTGTCCGGGTATTGCCAATGGCAGTAGTAGTAATTGAGGTTTTGCTGCAGTGGGTCATTCGCCTTGACCCCTATGTGTCTTTTTCCATTTTCATTTTGGTTGTGTGCATCTTAGTTATGAAAAGCCCAAATGTGTGCTCAATTGTGTTTGTATCCACTTGATGCATTTATGAGTAAAAAAAGAACGCCCTTTATCGAAAAAATAATTTTAGAAGATAGAGAGAAGGGAGCTACCACCTTCGTCCTGGTTTATTGGTCCCCATTATAATTTGTGCCAAAATTTGACCAAAGATTTAACTAACAAAATGTTAATGCATGTCAACAAAAAATATATCGTTGGATTCGTATTTGAATACAGTTTTCTGTGATGTAATTTTTTGTGACATGCATGAACATTTTGTTAGTTAAATCTATGTTTAAAACTTGACACAAAATACAACGGGGACCAATAAATCAGGACGGAAGTAGTATATATTAGTGGAGAGACGGCTCTTAACACATTGTCCTATGCTGTAAAATTAAATCTATAATACGATGTGGTTTTTCTTTGTCATTCCCTTCTTGTCATAACTAAGCCAGAATGTTGATATGAAGACATGAGACGAAATAAATGCAACATTACTTAAATACAACATATAAGAGACAATG